AAAAAGCTTTTTTAATGGAGTTCAGCCGGCAAGCTTTACTTCCTACTCAATCTACCATCGACGTTCAAGTGAGAGGCCTCATCCTTACTCTCCCAATCCTGAAAGAAGTTAACCACCCCTGTTTTCAGTAGTTTACTCATGTAAGAACGATCGAACTCCAAGAACACGATAGAAAAATCGCCTAATAACACAAATCCTGAACGCACCTCTACTCAAACCGTATGTACCGCCCGTGGTATTCACTACCACTAGATGTTATCCCTGCACCCAACTTTGTAACCTGCAAATGTCGGTTCAACCAATACATGCAGTCGAGAGTTTTCTTAATTTTTTGTTCACACCAGATACATCCAACTCTGTTGTAGTGGTTGTTAAAAGACTACAATTTGTGTGAAACTCAATATACCTAATGAGCGCAATGAACATCAGTGGATCCACAAACATCTCAGACGACCAACAACCTCCGACTTTCCCCACATTCTGCGAACTTATTATGCTAATAGAGGGGAAAATTGTCTTGCTAACGCCGTTCGGAGTCTTTCCGTGATGATCACTTTACGTAAACATATGAAACTGAGATCAGCTATCTGTCTGTTATGACAGGCAATGTTTGGTAATTAATTGTGATGTATGCAATGGTTTTGAACGCTACAATTGCAAAAACACCAGGCAATTAGAGATCACAAGCACAAAAAACTAATGACCCTGTACGATGAGCGCCACTTGAGAAAATGAACATTTGTGAAGGGGAGGTCAGTCGTCGGGGAAAAACTCAGCGAGTGAAATAGGGAATATAAATTGGCAAAATGAAAGACCCTCTAAAAGACAACAGGGCCAGAGCGAGCGAAAAGTATTTTGAGGGAGTGTTGAGTCACGGATTATTTCCTGCATGCAATCAGGCATGCAATCAAACAAACTCTAACATCCTCTTTCTACTAGATGATCGTTGCGCTATTTGACCGACAAGCGTACACTGTATTTTGTTTATTTTTAACGCCACATTAATGTATAAGCAGCTCAATGCCTGTTTGATTCGTAAGATTCACGTAATTCATTTTACTCAGCTAATTACTTTCACTTTGGCTCAGGATTGAATCAGTATGCTTCCACGATGCATGTGATTCATAGCTGCTAGGTTACAGGGACCGAACCTGGGAATATTTTGTACGTACTATTGAACAAACATGTGAGCTTCTAAATATAGAGTCCGTTTTTTAGTATATTGTCTTTTTTGTCACTCACCGTTTCTGTTCTCGCTCAATCGAAAAAGGCCTTCTGCACCTGTTTTATCTTTTTGAGACTGTGTGAATGCACAGGCAAATACAAAACACATGTTTTCCTCCTGCAATGCCAAGTATTTTATTAGTTCTCTGAAAGTTTCCGTAAAAACAAGCACCATTTCAAATGGAACACATTTTCAGGACTTGGATGAATGCACAAAAACAGGTCCATTGATACTAATTTTCAAAATGAGTTGACAAATATGACCTTAAATATATCGAAACAGTTTGCCCCACTTTTTGCTCCCGAAAATAGTAATCACATAAAGATACGCAGACTTCTGATTTACAATACCACAAGTCGAACATATGCAAACGGGAAAAAGTAAAATCTCACCCTTGAAAACAGGGCTTTTTGACTGTATGCCATATTAATTGGTCTTCAAATCATGGTGCAGGACTTAAATCTTTCATTGAACCGTGTCTTGTGCTCACATGGGGATATTATGATTAGCTGATGAAAGATAGGGTAAACTACAAATAAGGATGTACATACTGAGGTTTTTAACATTAATCATTGACGGCAATACACCGGCAAAAAAACAACCTCCATTGCCATACAACGACGGAGAAGGTAAACGGTATGGTATATGGAAAAGGTGACTAGATACTGCAAAAATACAAATAGGTCCTTTAAAAATAGGTAGTGCGATGCAGATGTTTAAAATGACACGGCATAAAAAGTAAATCGCAAATGAAGTTAACCAGACTAACTAATAACCCAAATAGTTTGCTTTGACGAAACAACCGCAGTGAGGTTGCCACCAACAAGTGTTTTTTTACTTGTACTAGGAGCTGAATTCAGTAAAACGTTACTGATTACTTCGTTCAGGTAATTATTTCCGAAGGCTGTTACACGTTCCAAGCGAATTTACTCCACCTCGTATATTGGTGCTGAATCCTATAAAGTGCTCCAGAGAATACTCAACTCTTCGGACCAAAGAGGGTTTGTATAGCTTGCAGTCGGTTCATTTTTATCACAGATTAAAGGTTACATAGGCTACGGAGGCTTCTGTTCCCACCAGTCTAAATAACAACTTTTTCCGTTCACAAAAACGTGTTTCCGAATGTAACAATGCACAACTGCTTTTCTGATACATTAAAACGGTCGAATTCCAACACCAAGTGGACGGACTATTGTTTGGCTATCTTTAAAAACTAAGCAATACACGTTAACGTTCTTATTTTTCGGACAAAATTTGAGCCGATTGTAGGGACGAAAAACGTTATCTAGTGCATAACCGTCCATGAGTGGAAGGCCTAATCTGGCGTGCGGTGCACACTGTCCACTTTAGGGCTTTAATTACAGTGGTGGTACAACCCTTGGACGAACGGAAAGTGAGCTCTGAAGAGCTTTCAACTTCATACATCCCGTTTGATGATTTAAAAATGGTTCTAATCACACATGATCCTGACGGATGAAGTGGAACAGTGTGGGCGCACAGATAATATTTGTTGGATTGTTCTCTGAAGTGGTTTTGGGGTATGCAGAACAAGATTTTTCTCTTTTTCCCTCCTCCTCCTGCTGGTTGTCAGCATCACCATCATTAGCAGATTGAGCCAACTGTGAGTAGGCGCTTTGGTCTGTCGTTCATTGGACAACCGCAAATGAGAATAAACATATTTAAAAACAAATCCTTGAAACTAGGTTGGAAGGCTACCAAGTGGGGTTGCAGTGACTGAAATTGGAAATTGAAGCTTCCTAGAGTAGACCAAGTCGATTACTTATGCAGGCTGGCCATTGAGTGAAGTTTGGCAACATCATTTTTTGGAAGTAAATCTAAACATAGTGGTGTTTCTGTACAGGTTCTGAATTCGGTGGACAATGCCAAAAGATGTTGCCAAGTGGTTGAATCAAGTCAATGAGAACTGGATGATTAAAATTCCAGGAACTTTCTGAATCTCACCGTCTATACGAACATTATACGCAACGTACTCTCCTGCGCATTGAATGTCATAACGGACTACCTATATTACAGTAAAACTTACCAGCATGGGTTTAATGGAAAATCCACGAAAAACCTAGTTGTGTCGGTACCTATCAGTCAACCGGCTTGCGGAGTGGTTTAGTGGTACTGTCAATCAAAACCCAAAACAATGGAATCGACTAACTGGAATCGTCATGTGCGAATCATATGAAATGACAGAATGTCTATTGTATCTGTCAGTACAGTAGTCTGTAACATGCGTCACCTCTATCCAATGTGGTTGGCCAACAGAAAGAATAGGAATGGTAATTGGACCAACAAATCATCCTGGTCGGCGGTTTTCAAGTGAGTTAGAAATTGCGGACTGCAGAAAACCAGAAGTGGTTTAAACATCGAAATTCAGGGCGCTATCACGAATTAAACGCACCTGTTAATGGCTTAACTCACAACTTTCTGGACTGACTGCCAAGAACCAATAATATCGACCACCGAAGCATACGGATGCACTAATGTAAACGTAGAGACGGGTGCTTACAGGCGTTGTTCGTTCACTTCGAAAGAATGATTCATTACCATGCCGTCAAAGTGAATACCATTGATGCATGATGATGATAGCTGCCAATGATTTGTTGAAGTGGACCAGTAAGAGTTACGTGCAATATTCTCATAGAATTCAGCCTCTAAATAGGTTGTGGTGGCTGAATGATAGATCTTCAGCAGTTTCAAGCCAACATGTAGGTTATTTGCAGCGACAGAGAACTTTTAATGAGATAACAGGAGAGCTAATTTGTTATTGTCTGGTGTTTCAACGAAACATCTCAAACGACGTTGCCGGACCAATACGCTGATTTTTCCATCACAGTAGCCGTTTTCTTGAGAAAAAGTAGAGAGTGGAAAACGAGTTTATTTTACCTTGAAAAAATTGGTATCGTAAGACACCGAACGACTGAAGAAAAACTAGTACGCTGCAGCGAGTGATGGAAAACGGGAGTACGGCTTATCAGAAAGATGGATGACAGCTAATTTCATGTGCCTACATGTAAGGGTGGGGGCTATCCAACGTTTTCCGACACAAGTAAAATCAAGGATCAAATTTGCGGAAAGATTTGGTACTACCGTTCATTGCCTTGAGCGGCAATATCACTTGTTTCTTGTTGCATTGTCTTTATACGGCTGGTAAGAAAATGGACAGTTAATATAAGTGTTTGCGTCTTGTTTTATGTAAGTCAATCAATCATGAAATTGATGCGTTTTGAATCCCCTACCTGAATATCCATGGGTTCTCGCGAGGAGAGTGACCAATAACAAGCGCTATGTATGAAATTCGGTCGGTTGTCATCGGTCTTCATGCTAGTGTTATTCTTAATATCATCTGTGATGGCCATCCTGAAATCGCTAGTTAAATGGTCACCTGTTCGATTATCCCACTCCCCTAAATGACTTCCTATAGGGACTAAAAATCCCGTGTAGCTGAGGTTTTCTTCACCCTATCTACCGTAATAATTATAATCTATATTAGTGAAATTTACTATACTGTCTGGTTGAATTCCATGGCGTGGTAATTTTCAGGTGGACCAAAGGAATCGATGACTACTCATATAAATTTTGTTGGTAATTCACCAATGGCCAGATTGTTTACATAAGCGAATAGCTGATCAAAATAAGGTTTTACACATAATCCAACTCACAGAGATGAGTACACTGGAAAACAGTACGATGTCCTGCGTGTAACGACATTAAACCGTGTCGAAATATTGGTGGATTAAGTGGGTTTATCGTTTTTTTTCATCAGATGGCTGTTGGTCCGTTCGTCGAGTTTGACAACTGATTTGCAAACGTTCCGTCATCGTACGAGGAGAAATCATCAGTGCGCAAATGATTATGTCTCCTCGTATGGTGACGAAACGTTTGTAATTCAACTGCCAACCTCGGGAAACAGATCAACAACTGCCTGATTAACAAGTAATAACAAGAAACTGTTAACAAAGACAAGATGTGTCCGATCCTTCTGCGCCCACCCACCGCATCCTGAAAACGAGTAAAGATCGAATTTTTGGGATCCAACCGTACCACAAAATTCCGTTCCGCCTTTATGACGTTTAGAGTCCAATATTACAAACTCTAATACTAATAAAATTTTCGTGAGCAACGCTGGTTTCTTAACCTACTAACAAAGGTTTTCGTAGAAAGCTTTTAGTATTGGCACATGGTTTCCCTTAATATCCCAGCGACTGAGCTTGCAAGGCACTTGACACTCGCTCTGAAACTTTGTGTGAACGAAATTGTGACAGTTGATCCCATGGACTTATTATTCTCTTTTTTTAGCGGATGCCCAGCTAATATCCTCAGCCACATATCCATTGAGGGGCGCACTATTAAGCATATACGCCAGCCGTGATCCACAAAGGAAGCCAAATATGTCCGCTCGAAATGACGAGGATACAAAACAGATGGCGATGGCGGCTGATAAACTAGAGCCGAACGATATTCCAGACAGGAGTCTTATAACTGTCCCAAAATGTCGAAACAACTTCACATGGGAAGAGATTCAACGGTTTATTGACGAAGCAATAACGAATCTCATCAAATTGGAAGAACTGAATGACCTAACCTCACTTTACCGAATAAACAAGCATCTGAGTCGAACCTTCACAAGCTACCCCTATCTGAGAGAAAACATCGCCGAATACTTAAACGAAAGACGGTTTCCCTCACTCGCAGTCAAGCTGATCAAACGATTAAACAACTTGGGTGTGTTCAGCAATGACGGAACATGGTTCTCTTCTTTTTACTTGTACAGCATTGCGTGGAGCTACTCTGATATTTCCAACGACTTTACGACAGCTTTGGCGGTAGCTGGAATATCACATTTACTCAATCTGAATATTGGGCACCCACCGTATTTGGAAAACCTCAACAGCAAGAATGTGTATTTTCTAATAAAGGCTAGCCTTTCCCTTTTGCACAACATTGTTAAAATTCCTGGGAACCGTGACATGGCTCAGTACACCGTTGGCAGGGATGCATTGTTAAATATACTAACTTTTCAACGAGAGCCGTCTCTGCGCTGTCTCGCATCACTTTGTTTGGCACACACTTTAGACGAAGTTGACGTGCCTATGGCACTGAACCAAGCTCCAAATCTGATTCATCAGCTTCTCAGTTATATGTATTCAGCAAGCCACTCTGCCAGACGAAAATACCACGGATACACGGTTGCTGAATTTATGACAGCCGTAAGTGCTTTTGCTGTGAATGAAAATACGCACCGTACACTACTGGCAACGGAAATGGAACGACCTCAACGAACAGGTAGACCACCTCTGCCATCCATGAATTTCCTGAAGTTTCTCTTAAAATTAACTGATGTTTACATGAGTGCACAGTTGAATGAAGAATCAGAAAGAGAAGCAAACGCGGCTATTCGTGTGATACACCATCTAGTGTTCAGTCCAAATTTGAAAGAAAATGGAGCACTGAGCGAGCTTATTAGCCGTATGACTGAACTTTCACGGCTTTTTACAGTAGTGGGGAATCCCAATGAAGCGTTGTATCGAACACTGGAAGTCTTTACATGGCAACGATCACAGCCCATTGCATCGATGACATTTGAGTCTTATACACTCCCGAAGCCAACAGAATGCGGCCCAATAGTGATGAGCTATGCACCTATAAATGCACCTGCTGCTGGTTATTTCATAGAGCAACTTCGCGCTGCCAGTTTGCCTGTTTGGAATCATAACAGAACAAATGTTATCGATAGTCAAATCGCGCAAGAGATGGGAATGAGTGCATTGGCTGCCTTTTCAGGCGATCTCAAAGGCTGGCTGGAGTGCTTGGATCAAGCTACCGTTATGATCGTTTGTTTGAGTGATGCTTACCGGCTGAGTCCTGGATGTCGAGTCGAACTACAGTATTTTTTATCGATAAATTCAGAGAAGTCACCCAAAGTTCTGATCTACATCTTAATGCCACCGAAGTTTCATCCAAATGGATGGACGGCGCGCCTACCAAACATATCCGAAGCACTGGATTTCACACACAAGCGAACTTTTGTCACAACACTAAGACATCTGGTTTCCCTTGCAGGAAGACCATATGCCATTACTGTAGCAGACGAACCGCTTGACTCGCTTACTTACGACTCTATGGAGGCAAACAAAGGATTGATGAGTATGGATGATCTGAATGGCCTAAAATCTTCTTCCATTTTCTTAACATCCTCAGATAGTGAACCAGCTAAGCAAAGTGCAATAACACAAACCGCTGAACAAATGATATCTAAAGGGAGTCCACGTCGGTCAGCTTCACCAGAAATCGAGATTCAACGGTCTTGTTCATCTTCTCCAACGCCGCTTCTTTCAACAAGATCTGATATACCAAGCCATCATTATGGTGATATACAGGCAATCTCTTCCGTTTTGAGTAGAGATCAAGATGAAGAAATTCAAGCAGAACATCCTAATAGGCCTACCCCAGTACAGATTCACTCACCTGTGGTCACACAGTTCAGTGCGCAGAACATTGAGGCCACAGTGTTGGATACATCGAAAGTCGAATTGTCAACACCAGCACATGATTTGAAAACAGGGGAGTACCAAGAGACACCGGATGTTTCAGACCCCATAGGCGAGCGAGAGCATTACAATGACAGCCAAGTATCAAATATCAGTGATCAGAAACCTTCAGTTAAAATCCCGGAACACGACAAAAGTATTGCTCAAAAGACAGAAAATTCTGGTACAAATGAACTATACCGTATTCAAGGCGAAGTACTGAGAACTGGGGCGCTTACTGCCTACTCACCAACACAATCATCTACAGGTTCACAGGAGGCAATACTGAAAGAAAGTACCTCTGGACTAGAAGATGAAAATGCAGAGAAGATACAATCGGCGGCTAACGAAGGAACTTCAGCCGATCCGAACGTAAGAACGCCAAAGGGCAACGAAAGTCCTAAAAACAAATCGTGGGACGTCCACTCAAGTGTAAGCATATCACAACCAACCACTCAGCCATCTGGTAAAATTTTGACAGATGATGAGCTAAGAATGGATGTTGAAAGAAAACAGGAAGAGTTAAAGGAAACGAAAATGCCAGATGTAAATGTTGGTGAAAAAGACCATACAAGTCATCTAGAGCACTCGTATATCTCACACCTGAGTGGCATCCAATCCCCACCGATCAATCAGTCAATCAAGGCAAGCCAAACAGATAATGCATTGAGATCAGATGTAACAGGCTGTCAGCCTAGCTCAAGAGAGGAAAAAACCATAGACTTCAGAGAAGAGAATGATCAGCCAGAACACAAAGGCATAGAACAAGAACAACTCGTAACCGGAACCAAGTCACAACTAACATATCGGTCATCCGAACCAAGTTCAAAAGTCAGCGGAGTTGCAGGCGAACGGAAGGACTCACATGCAAGCAAAGTTTCAGACGTAGGTGAAGACAAAATTCGTCAAGTCTCGCCATCACAAGCTTCTTCTTTGGATGCAATGAAATCGTGGCCATCCTATCCACCATCTAGAACGAAGAAAATGGAAGATGCCTTGGGGGTGCACGTTGAAAATTCACAGGAAACAAAATCAGTAATGAAGTCAGATGATGTTCAGTTGAAGTGCTCGGTTGAAGCACCTGTCTCTAAAGTGGATGAAGTCAAATCTCAGCCAAATAACCAGCAGCCCAGCGCAAGTTTGGCAGAAAATATTCTAATGAGCACGAGAGAAAAACCCGAAGGATTACAGGAGGAACAGGTTTCACACGCCAGTGCACTGAAATTGCAACCGCCATGGCCACAATTTGACAATGCTTTGGGCACAAAAACCGTTGATTCACGTGACAACACACCACGGGGAAACAGGTCGCAGGTTGCTCAAGCTTGCATCACGGATACGAATGTGAGTGAAATAAAGTCCAAAATAATCTGCCAGTCGTCTGGAACCAGCATAGCAGACAATGCATTGAGGCTGAATGTCGCAGAAAACCAGAAATCATCAAAGGATGACAAAATTGTAAATACTGATTTCGATGTACAAGACTTGCCCGAAGAGCCAAGCTCAATTTCGCAACCTCAACTATCTAAAACCAGCCAATCGATGGATCCTAATCTGCCGAAACAAACGAAACCGACGGGATCATCTAGAGCTGCCATACAATCGGAACTAAATGAAACGAGTAAAGAAGCGCCTGATGGAGCACTTGCACTGGAAACAGTGGCACTTACCAGTATTTTATCTAGACCGCTAATCGAAGCAGGATTAGCCGGTGAAGATCAGAAGACTGAAAAACCGAATGCAATATCACCGACAACGTTAGAAACAGGAAGTCACGTGGTTTTGTCTGCTAGAAGCTCAAAAACTCAAGGTTCGTTACCATCAAAAATGAGCGACTCAAAACCCAAAGTACCACCAGATTCCAGTGTTCAAACACTTTCCATAATTGAGGATATCAAAACCACCGGGACGGGGGTTTCAAGCTTGGGCACACAAGTTCCGACGGAACAATTAGGATTACATGCACTGACGGATTTGTCGCCAATGTCGGTGTTCGGACCAACCACCCAGGGGACGCCAACCGTCGTATTCAGTACTGCAAATTACGATGACATTGTTCAACCACATGTGCGGCAATGGACCGTGCAACAGGTCAGTGAATGGTTCACAAACAAAGGCCTTTCGCACCTGTTACGAAAACTTTGCGGGGATATTGATGGCATAGTTCTGTCTCAGTTGGCCTACATGCGTCATTGGGCTCCTGAATACTTTGCCAAAAGCATACGCTCAGATTTGGGACTGGGTTTTGTCGAAGCTTTGCGGCTTGTGGAGGCTTTGCAAGAGCTCACGAAACGACGCTAACCCCTTGCAGTTCCCACGATGGCTTTGTCATCATGCACAAATAGCGCATTTATTCTCGGCAAAGAACTGTCAAAGAGTTGGTTGTTATCCTGGTAAAACTTCTCTCCCTTAAACGCTGCAAATGAATACTCAGGATAAGAGATTGTGCACGAACGAAAAATTTACTTTATTGTTTAACATTCCGTTGAATTATTTTTGTGTAAATTATTATTCATCAAAACCGTTCATTTTCTTGGCAAATTGTTGTGTTGGCATCGAGTTTGAAAGAAGGTTAATTGGGTGTATCCTAAACTTGACAGTGTTGTATTCATAACTATACATAACTATGCATAACTATACGAGAAATCACTGTATGGTTCACCATGCCTATGGCAACAGTGATGGTAAAAATCTGTTCTATTCTACTATAAGATTATGGTAGGTTATTTAAAGACGCCAAAGACGAGCAAAAGCCGAAAATGACTCAAATCAGGAAATGAAATCCTTTTGGGAAACCACTCTAATAATCACACCGTCATATGCACGGTCGTTACTTGCAAGTTCCACTGGTGGGTGCCTACGAACTTTGCTTCTATTGCAGTCGCACTGCATATGTAACCAATAGGTTAACAAAATCCTCTTGTCTATTGTTTAGTATTCAGCGGCCATACTGTCGGCTAAAGCGGCTGGTGTGGGTGGACAGAGCATCATCCTCATCATCAGAGACAGCACCATCAGTGTTGGCACCGATGCTTCACTACCTACCATATATATTAAAAGCCCCAGAGTGAAAGGAAGAGAAAAAGAGTGGGTGAAGGAGGGGACCTAGTGCTGTCCTATGTCAAGCATTCTGAGGTGCCTACACCTCCAACTGCTCACTCAGACAATCTGGAAAGAAACCGACCGCACGAACGCCACTGACATCGATTAGACGACATTTCTTGCAACGTCTACAGCCAAACACAGACGGGGTCACGGGGACCCCATCCTGGAAGTCTCACAACACTAACAACACCCAAACTCCTCGTAGGAAGTCTCACAACACTAACAACACCCAAACTCTTCGTAATCTCTTTCAAGCCTTTTTGCCAAGTCATGTGCTGTCCACCTCGCGGTTTGCGCCATCCTGAAGGAGGCACGGAGAACAACACTCGTCTCGATAGACGGTGTTTCGGCATGCGTAGCACATGACCGAGCCATCGTTGTCGATGATGCTGGATGTTCTACCTGATTGAGGTGCCTGCAGCACAACCAAAAACCCGTTTCCTAACCACCTCGTTACTAAAACAATTCCAACGCTGAAAACATTTGTTTAATTTTAACAGTACGGCTTAGCTCTTATCAAAACTTGCTACATTTCGGTAGTGAACTGGTACGTCTCGATGAAACCAGGTTAGATAGATGTTTCCAATTCATTCAATGTTTGCTGCTGAGTGAAGCATTTTACTAGTTTTGGAACTGTTGCTACGTCCACCCGGTTGGTCAAGCACTGAGACTGCTGTGATCCCTCCAAAGGGTATTGGCGATTTCGTGAAAAAAATTACGGCTATCACTGTTTGCGTAAGACGACTTTTGGTTGAGGATTCTCTCCAGAGGTGATTCGGCGTAAGAAACTCAAGAGCAAATGTGAATTTTCTCTTTTAAGAAGGTTCCTCCGTAAATCGAACCTACTGAACTTGAGTTATTACAAGAGAACCGTCTAGATTGGGCAAGTGGGTGATTGATGGGTGTAGTGAGCAGTTAGGTTCCGCTGTCTTGTATGCGGCCTGGTCAAAAGGTCCCAGGATCAAATCAACAGCACACTTCCTGGAAATTCACCGCACTTACAGAGGGAACACATCAGTGACAGAAAAGCACTAAAAACCACTACATTCCCATAACCAATAGTGCACCGGGTATTAGAGCTACCGTGCCTAATACGCATCAATCCAGAACATCCACCAGCCAAACTTTCTTGTTTCAGAGCTTTGTGCACCATGGTAAACGCTTCCTAGCTGAAGCGGTCTCCAAGGTAAAAGTGAATCCCGTGGATTTCGACGCTTGGCGGTACTTTGCATCATTAGTAGTACAAAACGTGTTGACAGCAATTCGCCGTTGCATATTCAGCACTATAGACTAATGTAGCTTTCAGTTCAATTAGACCGAAAAAACTCTACAACCCGTGGGCATTAAAGGTGATACTCACTGGTCATTTTTCTCCGTTTTCTATCTGTAAGTGAGAGAACCTGTTATTAGTAACTTTCAGACCATGAAATGGGTGCGGAAGAGCTATGAGGGCGGATATAGTTGATGCTGCAGTAATTTGGATGGACATGACTGCGACCGAATACAAGACTTTGTGTGATGAGCTCTGAGAAGTCCTGTCATGACGCGTGGATACAGACTCTGTCAGTTAGATGGATGGGCATATGAAAATCGACCATTCTATTTTGTTGTGAAGATCCATTTTTTGCCGAGCGATGTTCATTCACCAGTCCGTTTAACTTTGTTGATGTTGTCATTTCAGATTTGCATAAAAGAACACCATAAAACTCGCCAGTTTATAACTGAATAACCGATAAACCGTTTTAAAGCTCCTGGATGCCATTTTGACATCGTTCATGAATCTTGATGTGTCAGTGTGAATGTACTTCGAATTAACCCGATTCCGCGGTACCACAACATGTCTCGACGTCCTACTTTTTTCGCCATATTGCGGGTGCTTTTTACTAAGTGCAAGTCCATTCTTCATCATTGACAAACTAGAAGAAACAGCTGCACAGGTACCACGATAGCTTGCTAGACATGCGGGTTCATTCCTGAGCAACGTTTCGCCTCTGAAGGTAAGTGTGTGTGATTCAGTCTTATGACTGGTAGACGGGTAAGTTAACATCGATCTGAATAAGGCCTAAGGCCTTGTGCTTCCGGTTTAGAGGTTTCAGTTAGTGGTTTCTATTGAACTTTTTCACAAAATTGCTGTGGGTTGGTTGGAGCTACGACCACCTGTTTAGGAGGTGAAGGCGGCGTGGATCTTAACCGGTTTGGGCTCCGCTCAACAGAACTAATCAAATTCTGTCAATGACTCTTTCTCATTAGAGCACCGCCACATGCGAACCTGACTAACCTAGAACCTCTCCCCGTACGCTTCCTAATGCCGTGCCCTCTATCCTATTCATACTGGGGCTTTCGGCTATTTCAATGGCCTCAAGTACCAGACACTGTGGTGTGAATCTCAGTCTCTTCTTCAAAACTTCAATATCTTCTGTTTCCACTTCGTGTTTCTTATCAAGTGCGCTTCGTATAATATCTTTTTAGAGAACTGCATGCTCATCCGCGGTCCTTGGTTATTTGTTTATTCTTTATGTTTTAAGATTCTAGGGTGAAAGCACCCGACCGACGTCTTTTGTTGATTCTTATGATTGTGTAAACGTAGCCGTCTGTGGAGGCGGAGCAAGTTATCAGTTTGAATTGATGTTTGACTGACCCCACCGTCTGGATAGACTCATGGTTTGTGTCGGATAACGACCCCCTACAAGACCTAGCCACCAGTAAGCGACACTCCCTCATACTAGCTGAACACCGATTGTTAGCTCAATTCGAGTTGTTGTCAAGTCAACTCTTGCGATCGGAGACCATATTCGAGGAAACTTTTATGAGACAGCAAAAACGAATCTCAACTTGAGACAGACCAACTGATAGTCCAAAACTGCACGGTTTGTTGGATTCTAGTTCTCCACAAGCTTTCTGTCATGCAGGTAAGGAAAATCAATGCCCAGTGATGACATTACCTCCGCATCGCACTTGATGTGGGGATTTTTATTGTTAGGTAGCTATCACGGTAATGCTACTTTTGACATTATCCTGTTGAACTGTCGACAAAACTATCATTGGTTTACTTTGCTCTGTGGACTACGTAGAATTCCATTTTGGGGAGTAATTTTTCGGACTAACCTATTTGTTTATCATTGTATTGTTGACCTTAGCTGATTAGTATTGAGTAATTAGTGCCTTTCGACTTTTCAGCATAGAATGGCTTTACTTACAGGACGAAAACTCTATTGGAAATTAGAAATCTGCAAGCGAAGTTCGAAAGTTGTGATTGAGCCGGCACATGTGGCAGCAGTTATTAGATAAGGGAAAGGTGGTAAAGTGGATTTCTTATTAGGAAAACAATGGTGAAAGCAACATCGACCTCTCATTGCCGTAAAACCACGCCTTGTGTGAAAGGGGAGATAGGGCTAAACGTAGACTTACAGCCGACAACTGATGATCCACGCCACCAATACTGATTCCAGCGGTCTGGATAAAAAAAAATGAAGAGAATGCTATCGACTTCCGTTCGCCACCACTTACTGCAGCACGCCTGGCCAAGCACAGATACTGGTGTAACGGTGATACTACTGATTAGGGAGGCACTGGTATCAATGAGGCTGAGGCGCTTTTGTGTCAAACATCTCGCATTGGAGACTACTGTAGTGGCAAATTACCCACGATAACTCTCAATACATTCCGCTCGCCACCAGCAGTTGGAATGAGTGCGCGCTCATCCCCAGGAGACCCCTGTGAAAGAGTCACCCCACTGAGACCACAAGTGAGCTTCTACTCAAAGCGCCGCTAAATTTAGGTGACCATGAAGACCTTGTTGATAAAACGCTTTACTCTCGAACGATTAAATCCCATAGAATACCATTATAGTGGATTGTCCAAATAGTGACAGAAAATACGGGGAACCGTACGATTAATATAATGCAAGGTAACTTGAACTGCCGAAGTTCATTTATAAAGAATGTGAAATGTGTACGAGCACTTCAGTAAACAAATGCTAGCGAGTGGCCGTAACCAGCCCCGATAGCAACCGCCTTTGGGTCCTGCAAACCTTGGTACGTATTGGATGAAGGGAAGGTAACACAAGTTGGACGCTGAACGCAACCGTGAAGTGGATGGTCTCCGGATTCGTCATTGTTCATGGCCGAAACAACACCACACATACCATGCTCATTCCACCCCCATGTCCAAATACGACCATTCTCATCTAACGCCATCGAATGTTCAGAGCCCGCTGCAACATTCACAATCTTAACAGGTCTACCGTTTCCATCATCGTCGAAGACTACGAGCCCAGGAGTAGGATCATATCGCGGGCCGACAGAATCAACAGCAGGGTATGTTGGCCGTCCGAGTTGTCCTAGATCAGCTCGACCCCACGTGTAAACCGCCCCGGTGTCTGGAAAACAAGCATTGAGGAAATACAGTCAGCGGAATTTGTCAGAGAACAGTAGTATCGTGAGGATTCATAGACTCAATTATTGTAAGCCAAGTCAAGTAAGAAAAAATAAAACGACGCAGCGAAGCTTCAGGACAGAAAGTGACACACCAAAAAGGAATTGTGGACTGAATGACACACAAAACTGACAATGCATATACACCCTCTGTCTGTCCTAATGGAATTCCTGTATTCTCAGGACTCCTCAGCAGCGCATATACTTAGCCACACAAAGGTTTGAAATCGACGTTTGAGACGCGAGGTCTGTGTGTTACCACTACTTCACCAGTGCATGCTGGAAGCACCTGAATATCCCGTTTCAGTAAAGTGATAAGCTCGCCCGACCTCCGGTATCACAATTCCAGACTTCCAATCTTGACACGTCAAAAGATATGCACAGCTTGTGAGCACTAGAGAATGAAACATGAGTCCAGAACTTCTACCTTTGGAATCCCAAACGAAAGCTACAACCTTGACTGCTAGTCGGGCTTTAATAGTTTCATGCTTGCGAGGAATACATTGGTTGAGAGTCTATTCCACTGGGTTTGATCATAGTAGGATGATCAAAGATGAGCAAGTCCCCGTAGTACGAGTAATCCTATAAAGAGGTGTTTCGGGGAGGGGGGTAAAGCCATGCTGTTTCTTGCAGCGAAAGTGTGGAGACAGTAAAGTGTTACCTCCAGGCAACCAGTATTTCCATATTTGTGGAAACTGGGACACTGTCTTATCCCAAAGAAGGAAAATCTAGGGTACGCCCGCACCAAAACCGTTCACCAGTTGATTGTGACTGCCAACAAATTAGCGACTACGGTCAAAACAGAAACAAAAACTACCAACACCACAACATGGTTCCAAGCGCGCATTAGCATCAGGAGTGAGATACCTGCACCCTCTGGCCTGTTCTTCGTGGCCAAGCGGATCAGACCACTGAAAAGGCAGGGTAGTCAAATAAAACCCTGCTGTCCGCTCTAATCTGGGCGAGACTTAAGTCAAAGGCTAAAGAAAAGCATCTCGAAACAGAGCCAAACGCTCTGTTGCTGTCCTGTAGATCTGGTATCAATAACCCAACCACTGTCACGCGTCGAGAAAAAACTGAAATGACTTTCCAATGAACTCAAACAGTTCAGTGTCCATAATCCATTCCAAATGTTGCAACACACATATCTCGCTGAAGCCTTACTTTTCCTGCTGTGGATGCATGTTGTGTTTCCGATACATGCATGCAAGACCCCATTTCGGTCACGCACCTCAATCCGCTTACAAGATCGGATATTCCACATTCCATTCTTCAGGTATCCAGTGATCCTAATGCAACGGTTCCTGATATTCGTGGTTTGAGAGCTGTGCTTACTGGAGGGTCGAAAGCGCCTTACTGAAGATTAAGTACCAACAAATGGCTATGCCATACGATTAGCTGGTTCGACTAAACTTGATGGAACTCGACAACAATCCGGCATACGTCTCGGCCAACTAAATTTGTCAACCTAATGAGTATGGATTCCATCGATGGAACGGGCGTTGTCATCCTTTCCGGTTACGTGGACACTTAATTTGGATGACTTAGCTCGGACGGTCTTTAGTTGGCCGGTAATCAATAAAAAACGAATGGCTTCACTCAGCACACGCGCTCATATCCATTTACCTGGAGGACAATGACTACACATGGTCGTGGACTTCGGTGGAGCATGTAACTATTAGTTAACGGCGGTGGCCTTTAACTACAGACTGCAGTCCCTTCTGGGATAAGTAATTCTATTCCAGTCGCACCACCATGCGGGTTCGTCCATCGGTCTATTTCCACAACAGAATGCACAAACCAACGCAAGAACATTCAGCTCCTCCACTCCAGCGGCTGTAACTCAATAGCATTGAGCTGATCTTCTGGAAAGCCGCTGCGAAAACGTAGCCACACTGATAAGGAAGAGCATTTATAGGGTGCATGAAACAACGTGAAAGAATGTACGCTCTCGGTCTAAAATTGTCGGCTGGAACAAATGATCACCGAACACCATTAAGCTCAGCGGTGGTAACAGGAAAACCAGAGGAACAATGAGTGACCACGCGATAATGATAAGTTAAGACTATGTTTAGGCATAAATCACAGACTGAAAGGTTGTGGAGTCTGTCCCTACGTGATCTTTATAATGGACCCCCATCTATTGAACACACAGGTCCAAACAATGAATATGTTTGGTCTTTGTTCAACAGTTGACCCCTAAGCGATGCGAAACAAGACAGAATAAATGGAAATTGTTCTGAAAAACAGAAGCCTGAGACTTACCAGTGAGTCCAACTATATGGCTCCAGCCAGAAGCGATTTGAACGACTGGGCGATCTCCAAACAAATGACGAGAAAAACTCAGACATCGGGATTCACCAAGTGCTCTGGGTTCATCAGCTGCTTGAGGCCCATGAAAGTAGCGAAGGTCACCAAACACCAGGACATAGCCCTTATCTAGAAACAACCATATAGAAACATTACACTAAAAGGAATTAACTGAACAGTTGCCACAGTTGATGCACGCAAGAAGCGAGGTGGTAACATCATGAGTGCGAGGAAGCTACAAATCAAAGCGCAACACCGATAAGTCGGTGGTTCAAAGCAACTTCTGATTTTCCTACCTCTCTTTCTGGGCTTCGGAAGGTATACAGTATCTGAACCCTCTGCATTCTTCGGCTTTCATGAAAACCATGTACCACAGGTGAACCATTTGGCGTAATAATTTGGTACTAGAGTGAAGGGGATCATTAGTACCAGAGATCTACAGTATTCTAAGAAAAAACTACGCTTAAGAAGCAAGCTGTTCTCTTGCGCACCAGTTGAGTCCCTAAAAAAGACAACATGGGTGGTGAAATCCCAAATCAAACACAAGTACGCCATACATCAAGAGGAAGCAAGGTGGTAAATCACTAGAGAGATAGCAACATCAGTGTTGACGCTCCACTACGGTACAACAACAAAGTTTAATTAAAGTTGATGCCTCTGATTGGGAATAGAAAACATTCGATCAGGGAAGCGCCACTTACCGTTCATCCAGGGTATCTTTTTACTATAATTCACCAACTGCGTTGATCATTTGAAAAGTTGCACTTCTAGACGCACCTGTCCAAATATCTGATTGATAGCTGATTTACTAAGTAGATTTGGATCACAACCTCCTGGCTCGAATGGTTCAGGCGCTCACCGGCATAGGTGGTTATGGGCGCACTGCACACTCTGGATGGCCCCATTTTAAAAGGCCCAGAGTCACCAGCGCCCAGTGGATTGCAAACATCGTGTTCAACCTCGTTATCTCATGAGTCGAATTCTTTAACCACAGGCCCCAACTGGTGCCTCCCGCGAAAACCATTTGCTTCAATCTGGGCAACCTAGTAGCATCTCGCCGTCCCATAAATTATGGGCCACTATATGTACTACTAGTTTATGTTTCCCCGCAGTGATCTTAAACACTGGTATTGTGTTGAAGTATTGGTAGCTCGGGTGAGTTTATTGGTTGCAGATCAGGTGGCTGTTGATCTGTTCGCCGAGTTTGACAACTGACTTGCAAAAGTTTCGTCACCATACGACAAGACATCAGTGGGCAGTCGGGTGGGTAATTCCTCTGCCTGTGTGCACTTACATAGCATTTAAATAATATCCGTAGTCTTCTAACGTGATTGGCTATTTGAAGGACAGCGTTTTTCATGAATCTATAGGTCCGTTTGTGACCTTTGTTGCGTTGTGGTCTGCGTCCCTTTGAGATGACTGGTTATCTCAACGCCTTCTATTTTAGTAGTTTCTTCCCTGGCTTCTCTCGATTTGCATTGCGTTGTGGTCTCCGCGAGACTGATTGGTTAGTTGCACCGCCATATTTTCCCATTGTAATGGCTAGTGTCCCCAGTTAATTCGGTACCTTGGTTTATTGGTTGGACGTCACCTGCAATCAAACTGATGTGTCCGTTTGGATCGGACTTTCCTGATTCCCTTATCCTGCTCCTTGTCTGGTTGCTTCCACAGCCCAGAGCTCTACGGTTCTGGCGTTCTCTTGCTCTTAGTGGTTGGCACCTGAGATCAATTTCGATATGTTTGATGACAGGTTCTTCAGTGGAGTACCACGCTCACATAAATTCACGCTCTTTCTTCAGTCTCACTTGAGTCAGTATGCGGACGCCGCTCCAGTCGAAATCATGTCTTTCCTGATCTTTGTGTACGGAGCTGAGGGAAAATTGATAGGGACTTCCATTAGCGAGTTTGTTTTCATGTATTCTGGTAGAGCTTCCTTCCCGTTTGTCGCAGTCCTTGCATTGAGTCTTGTATATGACATTGTTCTTCATCATTGGATCTTGTTTTCCTTTTGGTTTTGATAGTGTCCTCCACAAAGTTGTCGCAAGTTTGTAAGCGACCGTAGCGCAATGCTACCGTAAGAGCCTTGTCATTTCAGCCATGTTCTTGATATACGGGAGTATGATTATCTACATTTCGTGCTGCTCCATAGACCACATTTGGATTCCCGAGGGATATCCAGGTGAAATACCTTGGGTATCCATTTCTCTGGAACAATATATACGGGTGTTTTCCATCTTTAGTTTGTTGATAATGATGTCTATTGTGCTACGGTGCGCCTCAATCCGCTTTGTGACGATTTGGATGGCTGCTGTGATAGCTCAGTATTTGGTCCGTATGCATTGCCTTTCTGTAGATCTCAGTTTGTAGCTATCTGTTAGGCAATCTAGTGATGAAGATATCCAGAAATACCAGTTTTTCGTTGTCTTCTCAAATTGTGAATTCGATCTCGTCGAAAACGTTGTTTAACAGTTGGCTTACTCGTTGCATTTCACTCCTTTTGATGATCATAAAAGTGTCGTCCACGTAGCGGATCCACATTTTAGAATTTTATCGAGCAACACTATTTGCTTCAATTTTTGCATTATGAATTCTGCAAAAAATCCTAAAAACGGCGATCTTATTGGTGTCCCTCGTATTTGTTCATTTTTACCAACACCTCCACGAGCTCCCTCAAAATTATTAAAATCCAGTATTGTGATAGTAGCAGGCGAATCGGATGCCAGATTGAGACAAAACGGGAAAACCTCCTAGGTGGCCATTTTGGCTGCGATCCTATTTATCATAATAACAGTGGCAGACTGGTGAGCTTGTGCCCGGACCCCGACTTGTTCCTTATCAGGAACGACTACCGACACGAGTCTTCACTACGGTACTTGGCATCACGGTCCACCAACAACAGATAAGAATCAATTACACCACCATTAAATTCGGAAGACAAGGTTTTCGTTACTTTCGGTTTCTTTCTGATTATGCCGTGGTGTGCAGCTCCATCGCAATTACGTTGAGAGGATGCAAGATCAGTGGATCGGAACGCATGGATCCAAGCTACTGTTTACTATAGCATTCTACTATAGTTCCCTTAAGAAACTTAACACCGATCCTGAGGGTTCTGAGTCACATTTGGTCAACCGTTATGTACTCATAAGTATCAAGTAGTCGTGGACGAAATGAGTGTTGCGTTCGACTACTAGACCTGTTCAAATGCTGCCACCAAACGGTGCGGAAGACGGTGCACACCTTGCTCTGGAGCGTAATACCGCCAGGAGTTCCAGAACTGAATACAAATCAGGGAGTTTGGTACCTTAAAAAGAGCTGTTGCGTGTGGAAACTTCCACAGCTTGATTCGCGGCAATCTGACTCCGCATGATAGACTAACCTTCGTGGATAATACCAGAAACCACCTTAAGAGCAACGGCCACTATACTGGTACCCCGGTGGTTTTCGTATGTGTTTGTACCCTTTTTGAATATGGAAACAACTGTCGAGAAGGTACATTCTATCATTATTCTTTCCTCGCCCCAGATCATCACCATTATCGACAGCATGACATCAATGTTCAACAGTCATGCTTCGCTACCGTACGTATTGTCAGTTGCAGGTATCACGGTTGTGCGTGGACTAGAACACTGCGAGGGCGCCCACACTTAAATAGGAAGACCATCACAGTTCTCAGCCAAGGCTCGAAAACCTGACCGAAAAACAGTGGTATTTGGTGTGAAATGTAGTTACACCACCATTTCTAACCAAAAAGTCATCGCTCGTTTTCTAACCCCCAACAAGAAGGGCTAGGACACGGTGATGGTAGGATCTCTAACTATCGACCAATCTGGTATGAGAGAGTGCAAGTGTCGCAGGGAAACCCCCACAGCATAGCTCAGTGAGTCACGGAGGCACACAAAGCATCACACCAAGGTAAGACCCAGTCCCTCGTTGATTGCTCACTCCAGGTAATTTGATGTAAAATAGTCCGGAAACCACAATAAACTCGTCACTTTCTCTGAACAGTGAAGATGCAAATCATATGGGTCAGGTGCTTTTCAGCGTTGGTGCAATGAAACTGCGTGTTGGACTTCCGCTGTTAATGGCAGACTGCTATCGACGTTCAATTGGTCTTCCGTGAGGTTGAAGTGATGAGGACCAGCCGAACTGTTCTTTGAAGCTCTTAGCCCATCGTCCAAGATGATGTTTTTGTGGGTGAATTGGGGTCCCATCTTTTTCGACGATAGTTTCACTAACACCAACCGACTTCCAAGCAGTTGATTAGATTAGATATCGTAGCTGCCACGCCGTCAGCTAGTGTATCAGGTCACCGGACACAAAAATAGTAAAGCGCAAGAAATATAGACTCATCCTCAGTGGTTTGAGGTGTACAACCGAACCGGGATCTTGTATGCGTAATTCCGACACACAACACACATAGATAGAAAGATAGAGCAAGATCTGATAAAGAGCTGTCTGTCGCCCAATTTGACAGAGTAAAGACGTTGAAAGCCATATGTGGAACAGAACCCTTTAATTTAAGAAAGGTTTATAGTGGTTTATTTTACGAGACAAAAATTTGTATGCAAAGCAACGGTTGCGCAAGTGATAATTAAATGAGCCAGAAGGACTCCAGCGACGAACATGTGAGGAGGAGCCAGTGAACGAAGACCGGTAAGGGTAAATGATACCTCCCAACTGCCCAGGCCGAGGAAGAGGGTTTGGTTGAGGTACCTCACTTTGAGCCTTTTACTAAAAGTCTGGGGTTGGGTTGCACGCAGAAGCCACCATACTACAAAACGTCTTCGGTTGTTCCGGAATCTAGTAGTATTGCACACAAATCGATTCCGGTACAATACGATCATCCAATTGAGACTCAGCAGCGCCAAGTCTATGTGCATGCGCACCCATAGCCCCGGCAAATACAACAATGACTGGGCTTTTAGGCAACCGCAATAAGGCGGAAGTTATCTTTGATAGTATGAGCGCTAAGGTCGCAAGGAGATATAACAAACTCGCAGCTATTTTCGGCGCATTTATGATATACTCTCCAAGACTCTGCCAAATGAACCGCACATGGGCGATTATCAACGGGTAGACAGACAATCAGGGGTCCTTCAGTTCAATGGTTCAAAACAATACCAACCCTAGTTGTCATCGCCATCATTGAGAGCAACACAAAATGAGAACACTGGTTTTTAACTCCCGTAAGGCCGCAACAGAACTAGCCACGGCGGCAAGTGGATCACTAGTAGTATGCAAACGAAAGCGTGAAGAAACCAATGGAAAAGTTGGTAAAACCGCACTTGGGTCCTGAATCTTCGTTTCACCGAGAGCACGCACTAACAAAAAGCAATTCCAATGTAAGATATCCGGTTCCTCTAAGAGTGCGAACGGTAAAGGATGAAAAATGAACCGAATATCGCGGCTTAAATAATAATTTCGAAGTGTCTGAGGCCGTGGTGGTCGAGTTAACCTTAAGTATCGCAGCTAACGGCAGTGGTCGACGAACAGATCTGCCAGTCCTTACGAATGGGCCTACGGAGTTGTCAATAGCAAGGGCTAAAGCGGGAGAGAAGTAATACACGGAAGAGGAAGGAGGATGGCATCATTAGCAGTGTTTTCACATACCCGTGCTGCAAGGCGACCTGGGTGATTGTGTCACCCGATGACCGACGTGGCAAGCGGCCATTCGTAATTATGCGATCCATAGTTGTACGAAAGTTGGAATACTGTCGGGGCGTCCACGTCTGGACAAGACGACAATCAGGGTTTTCAAATAAAGTCCTGAGCCCAAAAGTCCAACCACAGGACAGCGGTGGATGGTACAAGACCACGAAAGCAGGCTGCGCTGAGCATACACAGGACCAGCAGGATGGATCACTGCTCACTGGCCAAACTGGTATGAGACTGTGGGTGTCACATGTACACTCCGCAGTACAGTCCAAAAATGTGATATAGGGGTGTATAAACTATCACACGGTGGAAAGGTTCAGACTTCGTGATGGACTCAGTAAAATACTGACACAGGACGGCTATTCGAAGCCATTATTACCTATTCCGACGTTCTTTCAAACTGCTACAGAGGGAAGGTAAACTAGTATGAAAAGACTTTTCGACCATGCGGTATGATAATAATCCACGAAACAAAGCCGGAGGCAATGGTCGATAGTGAAATTAGAATCTACCTGTAGCGATGACGGAATGTTGAGCTCCAGCTGAACAGCACACAGGTTTACCATACAATCGGTTGAAATTAAACCGGACGACACCAGAAATTGAAGTATCGCATGGTGCACCCAGCTGACCTCTTCGATTAGCACCCCAGGATAGCACTTCACCGTCAACTAAAGAAAATGGAGCGAGGTGATAGAATGATTGCATACCTGAAACAACCAGTGCATGTCGCAGTCCAGCAGAAACCATTTGAACAGGTGGAACAGTGACTCGGAACTCTGCGTATGAACTGAACAAGGCAACTCACTGGCTGTACAGAGTACGAGGAAGCAGGTGCACCCAATATCTGCCCATGCATATTGGACCCAAATCCAATCAACTGACCATCATTCGTCAAACATAGCGTAAAGTCCCAACCACAGGCGATGGCCACGATAGGATGAGAGGTATTGAGATCAATAGGATGAAGAAACATTGGGTCACTAGAGTGGCCTATCTGGCCATGAATGTGTGAACCACAACCAAGCGTCTGAAGTCCTATTTAAAGTGATGTGAATAAGACCAAATTGAGGTACCGTTGGAAACTACAGAGTGTCCACCACCACCCGCAAGAAACAAAGCTGTTGACAATTGAGTGGTTCGATCAGCCGTATCAAAAAACATTGCATCACAATGTATCGGAACCGGTACACTCCGATCACCAGCGTCTCCAGTGCCTAGCTGACCCGAACTATTTGCACCCTGAACCCGGTGATTCCGGAAGACAAGAAACAAACCCACGCGAATAACATGCTTGTTTGGTAATCACCCCCGAGAAGAGAGTGGAAAGCAGAGGACCCAAGCCCAGGTCACAATTCTTTGTAATCTGAAATGAGAATGTATTAAATGTTTCACACATACAGGCAAAATGTTATCGTCTTATTTAGTTGAGTACAATGGAAGGTGGTAGCACTCGCCGAGAGCGTTTACGGACAGAAAGTCACTTAATATCATACATTGGTAACGTGCAAGTCTGACCTGAACTTCTGCTGCTTTGTAACGGTTGCCACCATACACAGTAACATCGGTACTGACAATGATGCTTCGTTTCCATACAACCACAGAGTTTATCTTGCAATATTTAAGGCCTTTGAAAAGAAAAGTGGGTGAGGGAGGGGACTTGATTCCTGCTCATCGCAAGCAATGTGAGGTACCTACACATCCAAGCGCACAATCAGAAAATCTGGAGGAAAACTAGCAGCAAAAAAGCAAATGACATCAATCAGCCGCCACTTCTTTCAATGCCTCCAGTCAAGCATACGCGGGGTCGCGGCAGCCACATCCTGCAAGGCACATAACACCAGCAATGCCCAAACTCTCCATAATCTTTTCCACCCCTTATCCAAAATAGTGCGCAATTTGTGACAATCTGGAGGCAGAGAGAACAGCAGAGAGAACATCTCGTAGACGGTGTTTTGGCATGTGTAGTACACGGCTGAGCCACCGAAGTTGATAGTGCTGGATGTTTTCCGTGACTGAAGTACCTCATTAGGAATCCGTTGACGCCATCTGACACCATCAGCGCTTCTGAGGAATCGGTGAATCCTTGTGGGAACTGAAAGCCAACGTAATGGAAGAGGCCCAGAAAGCCGGGTATGCCCGAAGAGTAGTTCAGTTCATTCGTGTCCCCGATCCCCGGAAACTACCTGAGTGAAACCATCAATTATCAGAATGGAACGACCACCTTGAATGCAGAAGACCACCTCAACTGTTGAGCCGAATACTTTGAACACGCATCGCAACCACTACCTGAAAATTATCTGGAGCCCACAGTTGACGTGGAACTCTTTACGGTGAACCTAGAACCCTCTACTGCCTCCAAGGCTTATGGCTGCATATGTTCTCTTAAGCACCTCCGAGATTCTGATCCGGATAACCTCCCATCCGCATCGTTCAAGGATAGGGGTAAGTCTTCAGTCAGCGCTTGTCCGATCTGTTTGCCTGCATTTGGGAAAAGAATACTGTCCCAGACAAATAAGGAGTCGGTGATAGCGCCCATTTTCGAAAGTGAGTGTGGCAACCACAGAAACGAGAATTCAAGGTGTAAGGATAGTGAGGCGAGATAGCCCAAGTGGTTAGAGCGCGAATTTACTGACCGGAAGGTCCGTGGTTCGAACCCGACCTCTGCCCCTCGACTGTCCCTGTCTAGGCTTGGGCAACCTGGCAGTATCCCAGCCCTCGTGCAACCTTCGGATGGCATGGAAGTTAGGCACCGAAAGAATGCTACAGCTGCAGGATCACTCAATCCAACTTGAGGAGAACCACATTTTGGAGGCAGCAGAGACAGTGTTGAGGTGCTTGTCCACAAACTGCCTCAGCCTCTTCAACAAACTCGGCGATGTTTAACAGTCAGCTTGCCTTAGACAACCGTTCACAATCGGACTCACAGAGACCTGGCTCACACCAGATGTCTCTGACGCGGATCCGTCTATCGAGATCTCGAGATCTTACATGCAGCCCTACCAATCCCGATTGTCCTCTCTGACACCACCCATGCACCCTTTTGCGATCCACTCTGGGTCCAAATCCCGCTGCGCGGGTCCGATTCTCTCCTTCTCGGTGTGGTCTACCGTAGCCCCTCGAGTCCACCTGAAGATGACCAATTCCTCATACAAACCCTTGAGCAACTCCCCTCCAACTAACACTTAACTCATCTCCAGCAGGTAGGTGACTTCAACGCCCCAAAGGCCTCCTGGATGGAACTCAAGCGCGTCAAATCAGGCGGGCTTTTTGCAGCGGCGCTGATTGAAGTCGTTCAACAGAGCGCTTGGACTCAACATGTCCTTGCACCCACCAGATACCGCGCAGGCCAACAAACATCCCTGCTGGATTTGGTCATCACCAACGAAAGACACTTCGTTGATCAGGTAAAAATTAACGTTCCACTGGGACATAGCGACCACTGTGTGCTGACCTTTGATTTCATCTGCTATTGGACCAGAAATTCCGAACCTCAAACGTGGTTTCCAGACTTCTGCCGTGCAGACTTCTCAGGAATGTGCACCTTTCTTGAACAAGTCACACTGGGACCAGCTTCAGTGGAAGAACTACATAGGACTATTGTCCAGAAAGTTCACGAGGCTGACGTGATGTTCGCTCCAAAAAAACCAGCACGCACTCGGAAGAACCGCGGGCTGCCAAACAGGATTCAGCGACTTCTTGAAAAAGGACCCAACTCTTTTTCAAAAAGTTGATTACAGGGGATACAGAAGATGAGCTGGCATTTCGTAAAATGCGGAACCGCTGCAAATCAGAAATCCGCCGATGGAACATACGAAAATAAACCACCATCCTGGACCTCGCTCGAAAAAAAAACGTTTTGTTCAAATACATGAAACACCGCCGCAGAAACAAGCCATCCGTGTTCTCCTTGAAGGACAGAAATGGAGAATCGATGAGTGACCCAACAGCGGTATGTGAGATTTACAGAGAACACTATGCGTGTCTACGCTCAGCCCCAGCGTCCTCGTCACACCCACTATTGTCAAGGCGTAACTACGAACAGTCTCTAACCGACTTGGTCTTCACGGCGGAGGGCATTCGCCAACTCTTGCACAAGACCAACCCAATCTGCGCGTTGGGGCCCGACGAGGTCCATCGACGGATCCTGGAGGAAACGTCCTCCACACTGGCAAATCATTTACACATGGTGTTTCGTCAGTCGCTTGACGAAGGCCGCCTTCCCTCTGCTTGGTAGAAAGCGATTGTCACGCCAATCTATCCGACTATCCCTGGCAGCTATAGGCCTATAAGCCTCACTAGCGTGCCGTGCAAGGTAATGGAACGCATTCTGAAGCGAGCTATCCTAGATCACCTTACTTCCAGCAACCTGATATCTCCAGCTCAACACGGATTTCTCCCA